CCCCTTAATGACACCCTGCTCCTATCCCTGCCTGGAGTGAGGTCACGGCTTTGCAGCTAATCCCCTCCTGCAACCCTTTTATCATGGGAGCCAGCAGCAGTCAGAAAGCAAGGGGCTGGTTTAGGAGTTCTTGTTGAAGCACGATGACGGCTCTTGGAGACGGTGGGAAGTTGTGTGGGGAAAGGGCTCCCTCACCTGGATCAAACAGGCTCAGCTCTCCGTGTTTCCCTGCATGCGACACTGAGGAGCTCTTCAGTGTCTTCAGTGCCTTCAGGCCTCTGCCAGCACCCCTCGCTGTTCCCTGAGGCCTCCGCTGTTCCGGTACCAAACGGTTTTACCGCGAGGAAGCGGACAACAGCGCGTCCTTTTGCTCTCGCCTCGCGAAGAGGCTGCTGGACTGCTGGGCTCGTTCTGCAACAGCACTTCAGCGCCTTTCAGCGAGGAAATGAGCAAACACTTCACCGAGCCAGGAAATCGGGCTCCTCGACTCCCAGATCTCCTTTAGTCCCTCCCAGCCTGCCTGCAGAGCTGGTACTACGACAGGCACGAAACCCAGCACTAGACCAGCAGGAGCCTGCCTCTAAAGGGCTTTAACTGTCAATGACTGTCAAAGGAGGGAGGAGGCCCAGTGGAGTGACTTCCCTAATCCCGTCACAGCAAGGTGGGACTTGGGTTCGAGTGTCTGGTTCCCACTTGGGTTGTGGCGTTGGCATGGCAGGTCCCGGCTCTGCCTCGTCTCCTGCGTTTAAAAAAAAGTAGTAACAAAAGAGCATCAGGGAGGCATTTTTGTGCAGTAGGTTTGGCTGCGGTCCGTTAGAACCCACACTCGGGACGCTCGCTTGATGTTGCCGTTTTCGAAGTTCAGCTCTGACTACGGGATCGCAGTGTTGCAGTTTCTAAGGCACCCCGATACTGTAAGCAAGACGAATCTGTTTGAGCTTGAGCTTGTGAGCTCAGCTGCCCGTCGGGCCCGGAGTTCGGGTTGTGTTAGTTCTGGAGGTGGCGGCTGGGGGGGTGCGTGTGTCGTTGAGACCCCTCTGCTGGTGCCCTGTGGGGTGACGCTCTTCCCCGCGTGCTCGCACGGGCAGGGCACCTGGGCGCGCCGCGTCGGCCTCGCTCCTCTGTCTCGGGTTTGCCTCTCTTCCTGGAAAAAAAAAACACAGAGGGCACACACACACACACCTGCGTCACTGTCACTGTGAACCCCGTGACATCACTTCCTGTCAGGCCTGACGCTTCTGGCTTTGGTCTCTCGACCGCAATGTCGTCTCGAGTGACGCCAGGGCCTCCCGGGCGTGAGAACACGTGTGTGTGTGCGTGCGTGTGTGTGTGTGTGTTCTGGCGTCGATCGTCATGGTGATCTGGATTATTGGTAAACACAGATGCGGCGTCGGTTGCCGTGGTGCCGAGACCGGTCGAGACCGGCTCTGCGCCGCGGCGTCGCGTGCGTCAACCATGCGCGCTGGAAATAGCGCAACGTGGGGCCGGAGGCGCGCAGAGATGCAAAACAAACAGACCAGCGGCGCAGACAGCAGGTGCTCTTCACTCACGTCTGCTGCTCGCTCCTGGTTTCCATGGAACCTCAACCCCTGCTCGAAGACCTAAAGCCAGCCTTCAGACACGGCCCTTTTATTTTTTCCCCTCTTGCTGTTCTGACTACCGAAAGGTGACCAACGGGGAATTTCCCTGGAATTTTCCAGCCTTCTTGCGCGCGTGCCCGTGGCCCTGCCTCCTTCTGCCTGCGCCGTGCTTTTCCCAGGATTCCCCCTGGCTCCGAGACGCCTACCTGGGGGCACAGCGCGGCCACAGGTTCGCAGGTTCGCCCCGGGATCTGGTTTTCCCAGCCTGTCCTGGGGGGGCTGCGTTGCTGGCCCCCGGGCCTGAGCCCCTGCGCGGCAACGAGGAGGCGATCTCCGGCCTCGGCTCATCCGTAGGTCCTGCGCTTCCGGCCCCAGAGCAGGATCAGGGCGCTCCTCGCTGGCCACCTGGAGACGAGGCCCCCCGCGGGCGTCACCCTCCTGTCAGCACAGAGCCTTAGTGGTGGTGAGGCGCTCAGAGGGGGGTGTGCACGGGCGGCTCCGGTGGGGCCCCAGTGGAGACTGTGCTGAGGGGCGCATCCGTGTCTCGGCAGGGCCGGGGATCGTGGGAGTGGGGTGCCCCCAGGGCAAGTGCCAGAGCTGCGTCCGCGCTTGTCTGCCCCCCGCAGACAGACCCGGAGAACCTGACGTCAGAGAAAGCCTCTTCCCGCTGTCTCCTTCGCGGGGCCTGGGCTTGCAGACGGAGCAGGACCGGAGCGCCGCACGGGCAGCGTCCTGGTCCGGAGGGGTCCGCGGGGGCCTTTCCTGCAGCTCCCGGCCAGGGGAAGTGCCGTGATTAGGGTCTTATCGGTGCGCATCCGGGAACGGGGCCAGCGGGGACGGGCGAGGGGAGGAAGAGAGCGGGGAGCAGGAGCACGCAGGGTGTGTGGCAGCAGCCTTCTGAGAAAGACCTCGGCCTTATCTGTCCACAATCTCCAGGCTCAGGACCACCGCCGTGCCTGACAAGCCTGCGTTTCTGCTTTCGGGTTGCTTAAGGGGTGATACTGGAGTGGGGGGGGGCCGAGGGAGAACGGTTTGTGGTTGGGGGTGAGTTCACATTTTCGTCTTCCTGGCTTCCTGCGGTTAGCCCCCAAACCGATCATTTCCCAGACTGAAACCCCCCACCATGACCACCGCTCTCTGGGGACTGAACGCCTGCTGCTCTTCCCAGCTGCGTCCACAAACACAGACGGACACACACACTCACGCACACAGCAGGGGAACACACACTCATACACACACACAGCAGGAACACACGCACACACAACACACACACTCTTATACACACACAGCAGGAACACACTCACAGTCACATACACAGCAGGAACACACACACAGCAAGAACATACACACTCACACACAACACACACTCACACATACACAGCAGGAACACACACACTCACACACACACACAGCAAGAACATTTAC